CCTCCCAGAGGCTGGGCAGTACCCGGTAGCAGCAAGCCCTGAACAGAAACTCCTCCTATGGGAAATGGCAAGAGCCTTATAGTGAGAAAAAGCAAAAGGCGTTTTCTTACAGAGCATTCACTTGCTGCAATCACAGGTGTGAGAGCATTGACTCAAGAGCACAGCCAGAAGAGCTGAGATAAGGTGATGCCAGTGTAAACATCTCCCTCCCTGCACAGCACCCAGCTCTGCCAGGGCTGAGAATATCCCCATTTCAGGGGGTATTCCTGAAGCCAAGTCCTCCACATGAGGAGGGTTCATACTGCCACAGCTGCAGCCTGAAAGATGTGTCTCTTAGCTCAGATACAGCAGTCAGTTTGGGGTTAAACTCAGAGTTACTCTGATGTCCATTAAGATATTTTCCAAGGCTCTAGGTCCAGTTTCACATGGGAAAATGTGCCAGAATGAATCAAGCTCCTCAGAAGCAAAAAGTCAGTAATTAGTATGTGGGACAGGGCATTGCAGTGTCTAAACAGAGATGCGACGAAGCGGAAAACCAGGGAAGCAGATGCTTGCAGGTCACAGAGATGAGTGCACCACCTCCAGCATGAAAAGGAAGATGCGGGGGAGTCTCCAAATGGTGGGCTGACATTACAGTCAGGGGAAAAGCAATTTCTTTTCTTTCTGGAGCATAGTCATCAATGGAGCTGTTGGCACTGGGAGTGGGGATTACCTTCAGATTGATGGGCCTGGTTTCAGATGTTGAAACATGGGGCGTATCTGCTCCTTCAATGGTGATCAGAATTTTCTTTGTTTCTGACAGCAGAGCTGCTGCCGCTAGATGAGACGGAAGCCCTTTCAGGGCCATGGCAGGCTGCAAGTGCCAGCACAGCTCCTGGACAAACCCAGCTAGCAGGATCCCACAGGAACAGTGTCCTGCCAGCCAGACCACCACAGTCACACAAACTCTGTGTTTTCCAGCAGAAAAACCTAGCTACGGGGCAGATGAGAGGGGAGACAGGGAGCTGTGCCTCTGAATCACCACCAAGGTCTGATTTTGTCACAAGTCCCATGATTTCCAGCAATTTTCATAAAACTCCTGCTGATGGAAGCATGTTATTGCATGGGCCATTTGGCACTCTGGAAGCATAGAGCAGCTAATGCTGCCACACTGCCCAGCACAGCTTAAAAATGTCACAGTTCCTACAGGAAAAAAAAAAAAAAGTAAAAACTAGACATTTTAATTTTGAAAACCAACTAATTTTGAAGGTCTTTTTATGATGTTAGGAAGACAGGTGCTGTTGTTTTTCCCTGCCTAGGACGACACAATCTGAGGGACAGATCTGCAGAGCCACTTTTCTCACATCAGTGCCACAAAAGGCACACGTTTGATCATAGGGCCTAAACATCAGATCCTTCTCCCAGCACCATGAACAGACACAGGGGGACTCCTCTGTGGGAACACAGGGAACGGAAGTTTTTAATTTTATTCCTTCCTGGGGCTCCATAAATCTTGCTTCACAATAAACCCATCAAAATTAACTGAGCCATGAAGCAAATGGAAAGGGCCTGGGTGGAGCAGATCATTGTGTGTCAGGGCTGAGGAACACTGAAGAGTCTCTTTAGCAACAAATAATCTCCATCAAGCTAATCTTGCTATCTTCCTCAACCCTCCTATTATATCTACTTAAGTGTATTGGGCAATGCAGATTGTCTGGCTTTCTCTTGCTGCAATAAGCTATAGCCAATATATATATATTTCACCCACAGACAGAGCTGTCTGTCTTAAGGACAATGTTGCATTCTATGTCAAATGAACATTCAGGTAAACAAGAGCTTTTAAGGAGTTAATAGCATGAGCATCACGTGTACTAAAA